AGATGGTTGGGAACCAGCTCAATGATAGACTAGTTAAGTGTCAATCTGACACCATGAAATAATGGAGAATTCTCACATTTTCTCCAAAGAAAGCATTATGTGAAAATAGGTCATTGACTCAAAATAATCCAATCTGAATTTGAATTACATGTTTTCTGAAACAACATAATTTGAATTATGTTAAATAGAGCACTGAGCTGGACAGACTAGTTCCTCAAACTAACATAGCATTTAAAATTTCTGGAGAAATACATTGCCCTTCTTAATCAAGCTACATGAACTTTCCATATACCCCTTGTTTTGCTAATGGATATACAGGTAGTCTTCAATTTACAACAGTTCATTTAGTGACTATTCAAAGTTACAATGGCACTGAAAAAAGTGACAAATGACCATTTTTTACAGTTACCACCTTTGTTGCATCCCCATGGTCACATGAAAATTCAAATGTTTGATAACTGGTTCATACTTATGACCATTGCTCTATCCCAAAGTCATGTGATCCCCTTTTGTGACCTTCTGACAAGCAAAGCCAATGAGGAAACCAGAGTTACTTAACAACCATTCGACTAACTTACCAACTGCAGTGACTCATTTAACAACTGTAGGCAAGAAAGGTCATAAAATGGGGCAAAACTCACTTAACAAATGTCTCATTTAACAACAGAAATTTTGGGGTCAATAGTGGTCAAAAGTCGAGGACTACATGTATAGAAAGTCAGGTTTTGCAATAGATTATGAAGAAACAGCAAAACCTGGAGCTTTTTTCTCCCTCTTTTTTCATAAAGTTCTGAGCCACTCATCACAACCATGGCCTCAAGAGAAGGAAGTGGCTGCTTTCCATGTAGGCATGGATGCCTCTCCTGACCCCAATTTCTGTTCCTTTATCTACATAGTTTCATCCAGCACTGAGAGCCAGCATTGTGAAACTGATTTGCAGAAGCAAAAGTGCTCTAGTTGTTCACTTCAGCTCTATTCCATAATTCCATCTATCTTAGTCCCTGTCTTATTTCACCTATCGCAATGGCAACAATCACAACAATAGTGAGGTGTGGATATTATTTCACATATTCCTCACCTTCATCTACTGAGACTACAACAGTTTAGTGAAGGGAAGGGAGGAGTCGGGATTCCCTTTCATTCAAGGAAACTCCATAATACTACAGTATAATTTTCCCATCTTGCTCTTTGATGATAGCAGCAATTTGAACATGAAGGAACATTATAAAAATCAGTAACCTTGTTGAAAAACAAAATGTTCCAATAACGTATAGTGGTAGGATTTTTTGTTGGCGTGAAAGGTGTTTTTATACTATTTCACCATCTCACAAATTTTGTCTTATGACAGTTGCCTCGTGAGATGCTACAGAATCATGGTTGCCTGTTTTGAGTATCTCATTGGCAATTCTCAAGGGAAACAATTTAGAGATGAAGCAGTTGTACTCCACTCTGTTAGTTGCTACTATTCATTACCTCTACCCTAGAGAATTTTTGCATAGGATCACTGGGACGGTTGCACATACCTATACCACATTCTGCATAACATGGCCATTTTCAAAGACAGGATTGGTTTATTATCTATTTATACCTATTGATCATGTTGATATCCTACCACAATCCAAGGACTTTTGGCAGCTTCCATTATAAAAAAATTGAAATACCCACAATACATAAAAGATAAAAAGTTAAATAAACCATAAAATCATAAACCAATAATTTTTTGTCAAGTATTACAAAAACAAAGGCAAAACGTTAACAATGAGAATAAAAGATGGCATAAGTCATGAACTCGACTGGAAAGCTCTCCAACTTCCTTCTAAAAATCATCAGGGTAGAAGGCTAGTCTGATCTCCCTTGGGAAAAGTCCTTGATTTATAATTATCCATTTAGCGACTGTCTGAAGTTACAATGGCTGAAGTTACAACCGGCATGTATTTATGATGGGTCTCAGGGCCACAAGTTCGCCATTTGGGCCTTCCCCAGCCTCCTTCTGACAAGCAAAGTCAATATGGGAATCTGGATTCTCTTAATTAGCTTTGTGATTCCCTTAACAATCATGGCAAAAAGGTCCTAAAAACAGGCACAACTCACTTAACAACCACCTTACTTAGCAATGGACATTCTGATTCCAATTGTGGTTGTAGGTCGAGGACTACCTGAATTCCAAAACATTTTAAAAGTGATGCTTCTTAACTTCAGCTTCTTTCACACCTCCTTGGAAGTGCAGGAGCCCAAGGAGCTTCTCCTTAGATGCTCTGGTGTATTGGGCCAATTCAGATTGATGGAGACTGCACTGTAGGCACTAAATCTGGAACTACTGGTTCTAAATCTACCACGAGTACTTTTTACCAGAAGCCCTGCCTGGAATACCAGAGGATGGAAACTATCAACGCGCAGTAACAATTGAAAAGGGTTGTTTTCAGCATCCTCCTCCTCCTCCTAATAGTAATTCCTTTCCTCAAAAACTACCTGACATTTAGTTGATTACCACTTTAGCACCTTTTATCTTTCTAAGTCTTTTAAACTGTGTAGCAATTTTAATGCCATTTTTGGATTTTGCTTTTTATCCCCCTGCTCTTTATTTTAATCATCTGATGTTTTTTTCTTTACAGTATCAATGATAGTTAGCTTTATGTTGTCAGCCACACAAAGAAATTTAGTTGCAGAATAGCACATAAACAAAATTTAAAAATGAAACATTTCAAGTCCTAAGTTCTAAGTCACTCTCCAAAGATGTAAACATTCAAAGAACACACCCAAACATTTACGTCTGTCTTTTCAAACTGTAGTATCAGTAGCCACAACTACTGCCATGTCAGGACTTTTACATGTTAGTCATCTAAACTCACCTCAAGAATGAAAATGCACAAGGATGCTAAGCTCAAATATATACTTGAAAACTGTAAGGTAAAGATCATAAGGCATAAACTAAAGCCAGCACATAGTTTTAACAGATACTATTTATTACCATTCAGAATTTCAGCCTCCAACATGTTGCCCTCTAAATGTTTTGGACTACAACTGGCATCATCCTCAGGCAGCATGTTTAGAGTGGTAATTAAACCAACTGGAAAATATGAAATAGCTGAAATAAGAGCCATTTGCAGTTTAAGTGCCTTTTCTCAGCATTATTCTGATTTCAATTTGAGGTAACTTCCCAGCTAAATGATAAAGAAACGTACTCCAATCAACATTCCCTTCGTGTGTACACATTTACCCACAAAAAAACATATACTGCCAACTCATTTTTTTCAGTTACACCAGAAATACTACAGGTACTGAAAAAGCTGAGATCACTACAGATATAATACACTGAAAAACAAAACCCATGCCAGGTATAGTAAGTATCTTGATGTGTAACGTCAAAAAGACAAGCATAACCATTTGAGCCTGTTTTAGACATTCCTGGCCAGAAAGAATCTGCTTTTATCTGTTTTAGTATCAGCTCTCCTTAACTGCATTATAAGGAAGCCAGCTTTACAGTGCAGGATAAAGGTGCGCACATTTTTAATTTCAAGCATTTCAAATCTGAGATGTTGCAGGTTCCAAACACATTGCACCTCCCTAATGCGCGGCTGCAACTTACACCTTCCTCCGGCAGTTAATTAACTTTACTTTCCGTCGGTGACACAGAAAGCCATTTTATGTGGTCAGCTCGCTAATCGCTAACACCAGCTTCCCATCCTGCCCAGGTTTGTAGAAATAAGCAAGCCCAGGATCACACTACACATCCACAAGACTGAGGGCTAGATCTGCACGCCACTGCACCTGACATAACTTAGGGATAATGCCCGCCTCTCACACACCAGCTCTTTTCCGCCAGTGAAAAACACACCGGCTGCAAAAAGCCAAGCAGGTGAAGGGGAGGGGGATTCCCCCCCTGAAGAATACCCCCAGGTTTCCCGCCCGCTACCCTTTTTGCCTGCCACCTCAAAAGAGCTGCACTCATCCAACGCGATGGCGAGCGGGGAGAGGAGGGGTATTCGCTGATGAATGACCAACCAAAGGCGCACTTCTGCAGGGCCCCCCCCCCTCCTTCCCTCCTTCCTCCACAGCTCCATAGTAGTAGTACCATAGTAGTCACCCTAGTAAATGGCAGGAGCAACTGTCTATTACGGAGAGAGGCGCAGTGGCCTCTGCTGGCACAGCAAACCCCTTGTGAAACACAGCAAACCCCTCCGGATGGGACTCTTACAAGTGGAGGCAACCTGTGCGGATTTATTTAATTTATTTATTTTTTTTGCAGGGAGGTGGGTGGGAGGAAAACTGGGCAGAAGGAGGGAATGCCAGAAGAGAGATAGAGAAAGGAGGGCTGGAGGGAGGGGAAGCACCCCTTTCCATCATTTCTGTCCCTCTTGATACCCTTTTCTGGCCATTTTTTTTTCAGGCTGGGGGGGGGGGGAGAGAAAGAAACACACACCCCCTTTTCTCACCCCCGCCTCAGCCACACTTCCCCACCACTGGCACCAGTCTCTCGGGTGGGGGCTGACAAAAGACCCACACCAGCCCACTCACACACACACACACCCCGTCTCACACACACTCCAGAGACACATAAAACACCCCCAGACACGCGCGGGGGGGGGGGGGAGAGTCCTCTCCCTTGGGGGAGAGAGGGAAAGAGAAAGGGAAAAGAAAGGAGGAGAGAGAGGAAGGAGGGGATCCCCGCCTGCTGTGGCTGCTGCGGCTTCCCCAGCCGAGAACCGGCGCCTGCGGGGCTCCTGGGGGGGGGGGGGCATCCCCGCTCCGGGGTCAGCAGACCCGCCGAGACCCTCCCCGGCCGGGGGGGGGTCCCTTTTGGAAAGGGGGGGGGATGCCTCGCGGGGCATGTGTGTGTGTGTGTGTAAAGGATGCCAGGGAGACCCTCCTCTTCCCCCCGCCGCCCCCTCCCCTCCACAAACGACCCCCCCCTCCCGGCTGCAGCAGCTGAGGCGGCGGCGGCGACGGCGGAGAAACCCTCGCCCACCCCCCTCTCGCCCCCCAACCGGCCAGGGACTCACCTGCGGGCGGGAGGTGCTGCTGAGGCGGCGAGGCGGCGCAGGAGCCGCCGGGGCGCTGCCCGCCGAGCAGCGCGACCCACAGCGAGCCGAGGAGGAGCAGCCGCCGCCGCCAGGCGCCCCGCGCCGCCATGGCTCGCTCTCCCCCCCCACGCCGGCCGCCCGGGCCGCGGGGGGGCGGCGGCGGCGGCGGCGGCGGCAGGGAGGGCAGCCGAGCGGGGTCAGCGCTTTTCTGGGTCCCCCTCCGCGCTGAGGGAAGGAAGAAGAGCCGAGCGGCGGGGGAAAAAGCTCGGGCCGGGGAAGGGGGGGGGGGGGGGGGGGGGGGGGGGTGGAGGGAGGCGGTCACTCCATGGCGGGCCGGTCCCGCCGCCGCGGAGCCTCCCCCGCTTTTCTTTTCTTTTTCTTTTTTTTTTCCCCGTCCCCTCACGAGAGTCGCGCCTCACGGCGGCGGCAGCAGCAGCAGCAGGAGGAGCAACAGCCTGGCGCGCGCTCCCGGCCCGGCCTGCGTGCGTGTGTGTGTGTGCGTGCGTGAGGCGCGCACGCGCGCGCGCGCGCTTCGGTCCTCCTTTCACTCCCCTTTCTCTGCCTCCCCGCCCCCCCCCCCCCCCCCCCCCCCTCACGTCCTTTTTTTCACTCCTCAGGCTCCCAACCGCCGTCCTTCGGCTGTTGGCCGGCTGCGCAGGCGCGCCAGCCTTCCCATTGATCTCTGGCGCGCGCGAGTGAGTGAATGTGTGTGTGTGTGATTTCTCTGTCAGGGAAGGAGGGAGGGAGGAGGGGAGGGGGCGCGCGCTGAGCTGACAGAATTCCAAAGGAAGGGGGACGCTCCCCCGCCCCCCCCCCCCCCGGCCCGGCGGGAGCCGAGGAAGCCCCAAGGAGGCGTGTCCGCCTGCGCGCACGCGCGCGGGCTCGCCCCAGCCGCGGCAGGCGATGCTCGCCGCTCGCCTCTCTCTCTCTCTGTCTCTTTCTCCCCCCACCTCCCCGCGCGGTTCGTGTCTCACGGACATTCCCGAACTCCGCCCCGAGGAGTGACGGAGGGCAGCGGCAAGGAAAACCCGGCGAGCGGGAGAATTCCAAGGAGGAGGAGCAGCGGAGGAATTGATGGCATTTCAAGAGACGGGACCGGGACGGTGGGTGGGAGGGAGGGAAAACCCGCCCTGGATCTTTGGGTGCGGGAAGGAAGGGCCCCTTCGGGGCTATGGAAGGGAGTTTTGGGGATGAAAAGCTGCACCTTGCAACTATTCTTATAGGACGCCCCCCCCCACCTACTCAATGACTGGACCCGTTGAATGGTACAGGGGTCTCCAACCTTGGCCACTTTAAGACTTGTGGACTTCAACTCCCAAAATTCCCCATGCTGGCAGGGGAATTCTGGGAGTTGAAGTCCACAAGTCTTAAAGTGGCCAAGGTTGGAGACCTCTGGCATGGTAGATAGATGAGCAGGGTGCAAGCATTCCTCGGATTGCAACCATAAATGGGAGCAGCATTTCTGTTGATGAATTAGTGGTTACCCAATTTTGCCAACTTTTTTTTTTCTCTACAGCTATTCAGTAAAATCTCTGCGGCTGTTAAATGTTGTTAGAGTGAACTTTTCTGGTTGGAAGCCCGCTTGGGAAGGTTGCAACCGGGTTATCCCACAACCCCGGGACGCTGCAGACATCCTACTATGGTTTCCAAATGCCAAGATTTTAATCCCGTGACCGTGGGAAATGGCTCGGATGTTTGCAAGTGTGAGGAACGGTCGTAAGTTGCATTTTTCAGGGTGGTTTTTCGGTCACTTAAAGGATGATTGTAACTCAAGGACTACCTGTACTGATAGGTTGGAGGAGAGTCTAGACAAAGATGACGTGAGGATTTAAACTTGTCCCTTGGAGGACAAGTTGAAGGAACAATCTGTCTGCAGAAAAGAAGGCTCAAGAAACGCGATCTCCTGTACACATTTTTAATTTCAAGCATTTCAAATCTGAGATGTTTCAAGTTCCAAACACATTGCACCTCCCTAATGCAGAAGAAGTTGGCCATTCATTTTCCAAACTTAAACCCAAAAATAATGACTAAAATTGCTAGATGTCACGTAAACATAAGGAAAATAATCTTCCTGATGGTAAGATCTGTATGACAGCAGATCAGTGTGTACCTACACAAATTTGTAGGGGTGTGGCTAGTCTAGAGAAAAGAAGGACTAGGAGCGACATGATAGCAGTCTTCCAGTATTTGAGGGGCTTCCACAAAGAGGAGTGGGTCAACTTATTTTCCAGAGCACCAAAAGGCAAGACAAAAAGCAACGGATGGAAATTAATCAAGGAGAGAAGCAACTTAGAACTAAGGAGAGATTTCCTAACAGTGAGGACAATGAGTGGAAAAGCTTGGCTTCAGAAGTTGTAGGTGCTCCCATCACTGGAGGTTCTTAAGAAGAGATTGGACAGCTATTTGTCTGAAATGGTAGGTTCTCCTACTTGAGCAAAGGGTTGGACTAGAAGACCTCCAAGGTCCCTTCCAACTTTATTCCGATTGATCGATTGATCGGTTCAGTTCTCCATTCCTGGATGCTTTCACGAAACAGATCCATTGCCTTTTCTTGAGGCAATTTAAGTGTGAGTAGTTTTCCAAGCAGATCGTTGAGGCTTGGATGACAGGATGCTGAGGCCTTCCTCTTTCAATTCCACAACTTGATTCCTGGTGGCCTCCCAGATCTCACCCAAACATTTATCCCAAGCGCACACTGAATGTTCCCGCAGCAGACAGGGCGCTAAAATTACACCCACACCCTAGAAAGAGCCTAGAGGAGATGGGTTCAGTCAGCTTGCAGAAAGTTTGGTGTACGAAAAACAAATCTGTCAACACAATCCAGAACCACGGCTCCCTCTAAGCAAACTGGAACCATTCCATGCATTTTACCTGCAACTCATACCTGTGTACCTGTGTTATAATCTTTATTTCGATGAATATTCATTGAGGGGGGGAAAAAGAAATATCTAAATAAAAACCGAAAATGCCCAGGCATACCAAATAAGGTTGGACTCTTTTATTTATAGGATATCAGCAATGGGTCAGCATGCCAAAAAAAAAAAAAAAAAAAGGACCATTCCATTCATTACTTCGGTGTAGTTTGGCACAAAAAAACCTTGCATTTGGCACCCAAAACGCCTATCGTTCATAACAGGCCCAGATTTTAAATTATTTAAAAACTTGTTTCCCTGGTTATCTTGGCAGGCGACCACTTTATCCAAGTGCACGCCATGAATATTTTAAGGTTCTCTTTCTGGGATGTTTTGAAATGTCTGCTTTGTTTATTTAAAAAAAAAAAAATTTTTTTTTAAATCCACACATTCTAGAGCTCCCTTGTTTTCAGTGGGTTTATCCTGCCTTAATGAATCTGGAAGGAGTTCAACCCTCTCCCTCCCTCTGGTCTGCTTTTGATGGGGTGGGGGGGCAGGGGTGTCTCGTTTGCTTGAGCCCAGACTGGCTGGGGTGCCCCCAATTCAACTCGGGGCCAGAGCTCGGGGCCCTATTGCTTTCAAAGGCTGAACTCTGCCAAACTCCAATCAGTTTCCCACAGCCATTTAAAAACTACGGGCGTATCTCCACATATCTCCACGGCTGAAACTGAAGGCTTTCCCACCCAAGCTCCGTCTGGCAGGACACTCAAAATTCCCCTCTTTTTTTAAAAAAATTAGTTTATAATATAAAATACAACAACACAAAAGAAAACAGTCGGATAATAAGGGGGAGGGAAGGGAAGGGTGTAGGGAAAAAGGGAGAAGACAAATTCGCTTAACAAGTGCAGTGATTCGCTTAAAGAATTGCAGTGATTTGCTTAACGACCATGGCAAAAAAAACCCACCATCAAATTGTGGTTTGAAAGCTGCCAGGAAGGAAGCAGCTTTTCTTGCTGGTGGGAGAATCAAATAGCCAAGCAGTTCTCCCCGTCCCATGGAACGACTTCCCGGTTTTCCAAGTGAAGATCCACATCCCCATTTTTCCTGCCCTACTTTTCTTGCCGTGGGAAGGAGAACGAGAGAAGAGAGATCCCTGGACTGAAGATCAGACACCTCCCTTCCTCTCTTTCTTCTTTTCCCTTCCCTCTCTCCCTTCCCTCTCTCCTTTCCTTCCTTCCGTCCCCTCCTCTCCCTCTCCTTTCCCTTCCCTCTTCCCTATCTCCTTCCCTCTTTTCCTTCCTTCCTCTCTACTTCCCTTCTTCCTTCCCCTCCCATCCCCCTTTTGTCATTCATTCTCTCTCCTTCCCTCTTTTCTTTCCTTCCTCCCTTCCCCTCCCCCTTTCCTATCTCTCCCTTTTCCTTCCTTTTCTCTCCTTCCGTCTTTCTTCCCTTCTTTCCTTCCCCTCCGTTCCCTTTCCTATCTCCCTCCCTTTTTTCCTTCCTTCCTTCCTTCATTCTCTCTCCTTCCCTCTTTTCTTTCCTTCCTTCTCCTCCCCTCCCCCTTTCCTATCTCCCTCCCTTTTCCTTCCTTCCTTCCTTCCTTCCTTCCTTCCTTCCTTCCTTCTCTCTTCCTCTTTTCCTTCCTTCCCCTCCCCTCCCCCTTTCCTATCTCCCTCCCTTTTCTTTCCTTCCTTCTTTCCTTCCTCCTTTCTCTCTTCCTCTTTTCCTTCCTTCCTTCCTCCCCCTCCCCCTTTCCTATCTCCCTCCCTTTTCCTTCCTTCCTTCCTTCCTTCCTTCCTTCCTTCCTTCCTTCCTTCCTTTATTCTCTCTTCCTTCCTCCCCCTCCCCTCCCCCTTTCCTATCTCTCTCTTTTCCTTCCTTCCATCCATCCTTCATTCATTCATTTATTCTCTCTCATTCCCTCTTTTCTTCCTCCCTCCCTCCCTCCCAATTCCTACCATGGCCCAAACCCTCTTCTCCCTTGTTGTCCACCCTGAACAAGGATTAGAGGCCCGGCCGTCTCTTCTTTTATGGGAAACCCAGCTTGTTTCCAGCTATCCCTCCACTCCATCCCTGCACCCCAGCCCCGATTTAAAGCAGGACTCAGAGTGCCCTATACCCAAATCTGCTCCTGTCTTCCCCCCCCCCCCCCCCACCCCCCAGGTGCTTCTTTTCATCCCAGTGGCTTCATTCAGAAGTGATGGTGCTAAACGCAGAGGGTGCCTTTTTGATTCCGTGCAAATTAGCTTTCAACAAGTCCCTTCTGACTGAGGCCAGTCCCGTAGTTATTTTTATTTAATTTTTCTTTTGCAAAAAAAAATATCTGGCTGCGACCAAGGGCTTCAAGACAAAAGGAAACTTCTCTCTCCCACCCACCCCCCAAAAAAGAAAGACTAGTAATGAGAAAGCTACTAGTCAAAAGCGAGCAGAGTCAATCCTAGTGATCTGCTAAACCAGAACTCTCCAAACTTGGCAACTTTTTAAGACTTTGTGGACTTTCAACTCCCAGAAAATTCCCCAGCCAGCATTCTGGGAGTTGAAGTCCACAAGCCTTTAAAAAGTCGCCAAGTTTGGAGACCCCACCTGAGCTAAAACAAAGGACCCTTG